CCCCAAAACCCCAAAACCCCGTCTCACTAATTCCATTTGTATTTTCTTTTAAATTGTAAATTAAATAATTTTAATAGATGGCCATGTCAGTTTAATATCTTATTCAAAATCTAATCAATAGCAATTCAGCCTTTGGATTTTTATTCATCTTCTAAGCTGACTTTGAACATAGGAAGGAAATGACTCTTCTCTAGGAATATAGATTGCCCCTAATTATTTTCTTTTTTCTCTCATTTGATATTCGTTTGGTATTATTATATTTAGGGGAGCTGCTACTGACATATCATCAAAATCTATGTGAAAATGTGAATCAAAGGATTATTATCGCGCCATTCCTAGTGACATTTATACCTTTGGTTCAAAATTATTCTTGGTGCTTGACTCCCATCCATTGTTCCTTTTCATATGTAAGCTCTAAGTTCTTTATAATTTAGACTTATCATTTAGTCTTGATTGTTATACTCTAAATAAATCTAATGGTACTCCAGGAATAATCAATGGACTGGCTTGGACACTTCTTATCTGAGATGATAATCCATATGTTGAAGGAGAGTAGCGTGATATATACCCTCTCACATCTTCTTAAACTTTGGGAGTACTAGCAATATCATTGGCAAAGAATTCCTTGAGTCCCTTTATATCAAGGTATTTGTAATCTTTGATATTAAGCTGCTGAATAAGATCAAGGATAGTAATAATATCTGCTCCTGATAGCATGGTTTATTAAACCATGTAAAGTTTAATTAGTTCATTGCTAAGTGGATCTTTGATCTCCTTGCCATTAATATAGAACTATGTGATAGTTGAGCCCTAACTAACTGATAAAAGCTCTGCTTCATAATGATCAATTAGCTTGTCAATTTTTAAGTAATCTTTTAAAACATTTTTTGCCTCTGTTTAGCTTAGAGAAGTTTATAGAAGAGAATGTCTCTCAGACTTTTTATGATTTTTTAGTTCGTTGGTTAATAGGTTATTGTTTAAATTATCTGGACTATATAAACCGTTAGCAGTTCCAAGTAGTAAAGCCGAGGCAATAGCAATGTATTTCTTCATTGTGTTGATTTAGTTTTGTTAATTAGATTATAGAGTTGATCTGACTTTTGTTATTTATACCCTGATTATTATTATAATAATAAATATCCATATATTATTATTGCTTTATTTTTATAAATCTTCAATTCTCACTGCATGGGGTTTTGGGGTTTTGGGGTTTTGGGG